ACCTAACAGAGATCAAATTAGCCTCGTAAAATATTAAATATCATCCAATATAGGCAACCATTCACCCTTTGGCTCTCTAGCGTTTCAGTTTTGGGCCTTAGACCAGATTAAGAGACCATATCTACTGATATACTGGCGTAACCTGGTTTCTTTTTCATTCTAGAAATCAAGAAAAAATGGAGAAATATACGTTCCCCCAAGTTAATAGATACGAGCAGTTGCGGGAAGATTATAGAAGGTAGGAAAACATGTAGTCCTTAAACCCGGTCCGTGAACCGTTCGACATCTTTCCGCTTCAAGATCTCTTTTTTTTTCATTATTTTCATTGTGAGATTTTAGCGCCACTTATCATGCGCCGTTTCCTGTTAGATATGGCTAGACGTTATTCACTGACGTGGCGTGTTATTTACATCTTAAGAATTTTAAGAATTTTACTTAATTTACTTCAGAAACTAAATAAAATATGCTCTTCGCCAAGGTCTAATTGTTTTCAAAATGCTAGGCCTGCGATATAACAATAAGAGTTAGCTTAGCCTGATCGTAACAAACATTTGTTTCGAAAGCTGGTTCAAACAAACTTCGTGTCTGCATTTGGACAAAGTCACTGCCGGCTGAATGACTTCCTGACACATGTTTATTCAGGGGATCGGCGACATATAAGGGTAATGACAGCTTTCTGGAGATGCCTTGAAGAGGTTTTGTGCTCCTGGGAAACGGGCCAAAGATGCGGGGCCTGGGACTCCAAACAGACATGTAGGAGTACCAAGGCTCTAGGGACCTATGGACCCCGTTAGGAACCCTGACAATTCATTAAGAAAAAAGAACTCAAAAGTATCCATACGTAATTCATTGAGGATTTCAAACAAACTCTTTCTTGCATTGCTTTATTTCTAATCTGGAACAACAAAATAGATTTTTTTACTGATTTACAAAGCTATTTCTTGTACTTCTATTTCACTTGTTTTGAGTCAGTAATGATCACAATATGCTTATTGCAATTGTTCACTTGATCTAACAGGTCCAGTGAAATCGCAGTATAAAACACTAAAAAAGTAAGCGACAAGTTTAATAAGAAAAAATTTGTTCTGAATTCAGTATCTTCATCACATCTTGATATACTTGCCTTAATGCAAAACCTATTTCACATAGGATTGACAAAGCATTGTGACCTAAGGGAGTTGCACTTAGACAGAAGAAAATCACTGTTCGCAATAGTTTTAATTCATATTTACAAATCTTAGCAATCAATATGCTAGCTTAGAGTCGATTTGTAGAGAACCCAAGAAAGCCCATAAGGAGAAAACATTAAGGATAAACGTTATCTGAGTAACTGCGTTGTGACTAACACATAGACAACAGATGCCAGGAAAATGGGCGAAATATAAATATAACATCGCCAATTTTCCTTGCATCTGTTGTCCATATATTAGTCACAATGCAGTTACTCGGATTAACCTTTATCCTCTATGTACTGAAAGTATCAATGGGAAATGGTTTTGAAAACACTACTTCCTGCTTGTGATTATTTTAGTTTGTACGATTACAAGTCCAAGCAATCGATATATTTATGGTAACCTGTGTTGGGCTGTTTCGTTTAAACTGTTGAAAACCATCAGTTACTCATACCTAGAAAGCTCCAATAAAGTGAAAAATAGCTTGGCTATGCGCTAAGTTTCTATAATTATTAAGAAACAGAATCATATTTAGTGCTAAAGACATGCGTGTTTCGATGGGTCCCAATATTCCATCATCGTCATTGACAAAAGATTTGCATTGCATTTATGTTATGAAATGAGAATACCGTAGAAAATACATAGTATATAATATGATAACCTTGAATGTGGCAAATGTGTCAGATTTAAATGCCAGAGTTGTCTATCAGGATAAGGTTGTTTTCCACAAATTTGCTCTGAATCATTGTTTAAGGTAGCATACGCTAAACGTATCTGAGCTTTCCAACTCAAAATAGCCCCGATCCAGTTAAACAGTAGAAAACATTACTTGCAATAAA